GCGGGCTTTCGTTTTTATAGTGATTTCACGACGATTCCATAAAGGTTTCGTCAATCGGAAGAAAAAAAACGCATTTCTAGCTGTCGTGATCCGAGTTATAATATCATCTTTTACCTATCCATTTGGTATTAGAGTGGACCCAAGATATTTGAAATCAGTCACTTCCTCAACCCGCAATGAATTTACAAAAAGAGGCATTTTATCAGCTTCTTGCACATAAGACGAAAAGACTTTCGTTTTATTTATATTGATCCTGAGTCCGATTCTTGCTGCAGTTTCTGACACGTTATTTAGTATTACTTGCATTTCGTTATAATTCTCAGCAAACTACATCATCAGCGTATCCAAGATCTGTGATACCATGTTCTGGACTAATTCGGACACCTCTTGAGATTAAAAAAAAATTTTTGTTTGGCGAGTGGTCGTTTTAAGAAATTATTCTTGATTTTATTTTGTTTTACTTGAAAATTATTTCTGATAACAATTCAGCTAAGTTCTCTTGAACTTTTAATTTTTTTGTTACCAAACAACGATTAAAATTAAAATAAAATAAATCAATTAAATTAAATCAAATCAATTAAATTATAATTATATGTATATATATTTCATATATATACATATAATCATATATATATATTTTTTTAAATTTTAAATTTTTTAAATTTCATTGTCCATTTTATTATTTTCTTCGAATTTAATTTTTTTTTTGCCTTTGGATGATTATATGTATATATATATAATTCTTTGGAATTATCTTTGGAATTCTTTGGTAGGAGTAAACCTGATATTATGTCAAAAATCCGGGTGGCTGCTGGGGATCCACTTGTAACTCTATTCCCAAGTGACTCTGTCGTGAAAGGGTCAGATATACTTCATTATTTAGGCATTAATAAATAATAAAAGTAGAATGGCTCAGTGGCTTGTTGCTCAATTTGGAGCACCAATGTTGAGGTTCCACTCCTAGCAGAAGTAAACCTTTCCAAAAATCCGGGCGATACCGGCGACTCACCTGTACTTCTATTGCCAGGGAATTCCTTGGCATATTTCTCCAGTGCAGCAAGCCAGCGAAGCGACTTAATTACAAGGGCTCTTTAAAAAAAAATAAATAGATGGTCTTGAGAATGGAGATAGCGGCTGGATTGAACGATAATAGGAGACTATTTCTCTTTTTTCAAAAAGAAACAATAATTCGGGGAACAACAGTAATAATTAGTGGTAAGTGGTAAGGTGAAATGGTAAGGGAATAGAAATAGTGTGCCTAATAAGAACATTAAAGGTCACCTTATGAGATGGAAGAAATTCTTTGAGGCCAAACTTAATCATGATTCGCCATATGTTGACATACCTGATACGTTCGTTGAACCATACGCTTGCAATTGCGAGTCGCCAACAGAAGAAGAAATAATCTCCGTTATACATAAGTTTAAGGCAATAAGACTCAGAGGATGACTCAAAAGGGAAAAGATGGTCTTTGGGCTAAACTCTTCAAATGTTGCCCATCGTTCTTCATAACTCACCTTCAAAAAAATGTACTTTCTGGTATGGAAGAAAGAAATATTACCAAATGATTGAAGCAAAGCAATTCTGCTTCCAATTCCCAGGAAAGATAAGACTACAAGACGTACTTCGACAATTACTGAGGAATCAGCCTACTAGATGTCTCACCGAAAACCTTTGCTTCCCTTTACTCAACAGACTTATGGAAGTGCGAGATAGGAGAATGCGCCCTAATCAAGCTGGATTCAGATCGCGGTGCGGTTGTGCGGTTTTGCTGACCAGATATTCACATTAAGAAGGGTGTTGCTTCAAATATCTGCAAGCCACCGTTCCATGTGTTTCATAGACATTGCAGCTGCTTTCGATTCAGTTGATAGGACAGCGCTTTGTTGGGTGATGGAACGCAATGGTATTCCAGAGAAGATCATCCTACTCATGACGGCATTTTATGAGCGTACGTCGGCGCAGGTCTGTTTATATGGGAAACTGACAGACTCCTTCGAAATAAGAACTGGTGTCCATCAAGGTTGTGTTCTTTCCCTTACAATATTCAACTATACGATAGACTGGGTAATGGACACTAATTGTCGATACTCAAGAGGAGCCCAGTTCAGTCCAGATCATCGTATCACAGATCTTGAATACGCTGGTAATGCAGTCCTTTTTGCTGATTATTTTTACAAGGTGCAAGCAATGAAACAACATGTTAGCAACTGCTACGAGAATCTGAATCATGGTCAATGTACGTCTTATATACAAGAAGCTGATAAAATGCCTCTTTTTATAAACTCATTACCGACTGAGGAAATGCACGATTTTAAACACAAGGCGGACAATGGCAACTGGAAATGAGTTCTTCCGGTGCCGTCGCGAGATCACCATAAAAATTATGATCCACATCTATATAGCCGTGATTCGATTTTGTTATATGGCGACGAAACATGGCCAATGAGAGTGGAGGATATTAAGAAGCTATCAGCCTTTGACCACTCATGTCTAAAATATATTTTACTGATCCACTGAGCGGATAAGATCGTACATGATTGTATACATCTTCGTTCAAATACCACTTGCATTAATAATATTATCACAGAGCGTCGCCTTCGCTGGTTAGGGCACATTATCCGTAGTCCACGGCAGGAGTTGACGCATATTTCGTTACTTGCTAAACCCTGTGAATGGTGGCATCAAAAACGAGGACACGATTAGAAAAGGTTTGTACGTGGACCAGCAATATATGGACTCTGACGATAGAAAAAGAAATGGTTTCTACTACTGTCGACGATGGCATTAGACGCCGCTCCGATTGGAAACGTCTTACCCTTGTAGTAGTAGAGCCAGCCAAACGAATGGTGAGAGGAATGGTGAAAATTGGTAGAAAAAGAAGAAATAAATGAAGGATGCAATTTTTTTTGAAGAGCGTTCACCATTTATGATTAATTTCGTTCCACTAGCTTGTCAGAGCAGATAAATTTTGCAAGTGGATCACTTGCTAGTGGCCAGTGTTATTCGGATTTTCGAAAGATGGATTTATTGCTACTGAGAATAAAAAGGAATCAGAACAATCCACTGAACCAAACCACCTACATTATAAAGGATGCACTTTTACTTAATTTTAATGGATATTAAGAAGAAATCATACAAATTTCCATTAATCATATTCAATTAACTTTCGAACCCGGTAAGTCAGAAAAAAATAATAAAAAAAGGAATATGCAAATATGAACTATAATGAATGACAAATGCTATAAAAAAAACAAAATTTTTATTACTTTTTATGTAAAAAATCGTGAATAGGTCAACATAAATTTAAATGCCTTGGTAATTTGATGAATTCATTTTCGAGTAAGCTTCGCAAATTGTGAGCGGAAATATTTAGATTGAGTGGTACACTGGAGAGAATTAGTCTTAAGCGAAGTCAACTAAGATAAAGTTTCCTTCGAAGTCAGAAAAACATAACCCATAGCGAATGCCAGGTTGATACGATAAAATGTTCAATTTCTCGAAGACATCCTTTATCGCTCATCCCAACTTATGTTAGAACAATCATGATTTCAAGGTTTAAAACTGAAGGAATGAATATCATTTATTCTTTATTTTTTATTTTATGTATCAATTATCGAATATTTTGAAGGCAATAAACCATGAAATAAGTTAAATCAACACTTATCAAAACTGACAGAAAGTCAAAAGTTAATTCATCAATTCAAGTTAAAGATAATTTATCTGTACAGATCTTGATTGGTCCATCTTGCCTATGACCATCATAAGGTTTAACATGTAACAAAATATATGTCAACTCCAGTGTTAGGCACTTATGGGTTTTAATCAACGAAGGCGAAACTCTGTTATGGTATGGTATATTGTCAGTGTTAATTCGAATGAAGGTGCGATCATGCGAGATTTTATGGTCTCGGCGGTAAAATCTTAGACATGAGTGGTTGAAAGTAGATCAAAGTAAATGTAGATGACTTCTTAATATCTGCCACTCTCATTGGCCATGCCTTGCAGCCATATAACAAGACTGAGTAAACATGTATTTTCTTTTTGATGGTAAGTATATATATATTTTTGTCATAATTTTTTATCATATGTAAGTAGTAAAAAGTTTTCATAAAGGTATCACCATCCGAAAGAATGCATTTATTGTATGATGCGAAGTTTTAGACTGATTTTTACACCTCTTGCCTGACAAATAATGCCCATTATCCAGTCGATCGCATAGTTAAATGTTGTAGGGGAAAAGAAGCATTCTTAACAACACCAGTTTTTATTTCGAAAGGGTCAGTTTCCCCATATACACAGATTTATATCGCTGATAAAATGCTTTTATGAGCCGAATGATCTTCTCTGAAACACAGCCACAATCCATCATCCTCTTGTAAGCACTTTCCTCTTATGCATTTGTCGTTATCAGTTTCGAACATTTCGAACACACTGGTAGCCTTTACTGATTACTTTTGAAGCCACTCGGATTTGATTTTTAATGACTTGAAATTAGTTCAAAAAAAGAATAGAATCTATGCTTTTAAGGCAATTTCTATCTCTTCACAAATAAAAAAAAAGGAAAATAAAACTTTAAATTTATAAAATAGTTGGAGTTCTCCAGACTTGATGGAACGAAAAAAGATTTTCTTCAAGATTGGCCTTAAATAAACACATTCATCGCGATGTTCCGAACGTGAAGTGTTTGAGGCTTCGGCAGGTATCTTTAAAATAATAGCGCACAATACGATTCACGAACACAATTCAAAAGATTCGTATTTGTTTTTGCTTCTTATTGTTCGCCATTATTTACTTATTTGCTAGTTAGTAGTGATGACATAATGATTAATATGATTTTCATAAATCCGAAAGAAAGAGAATATTCGAGGTTTATGGCATTAAAAAACTAGAAAAATAAAAAATAGATGTGGAAGTTTAGAATATATACTGGGAAAAGGGGTGATACTTGCAACTCACAGGTTTGGCGGCGAACTGAACACCTCGAATACTTTCGTTTCTCAGTGTTGCAGATGTTCCTCAGATGGCATTTCACATTCGATTACTGAACCACTGGGTGAATGTTCACCAAATTCAGCTTGTTCCTCAGATGGCATTTCACATTCGATTACTGAACCATTGGGTGAATGTTCACCAAATTCAGCTTGTTTCTCAGATGGCATTTCACATTCGATTACTGAACCACTGGGTGAATGTTCACCAAATTCATCTAATTCAAGCAAATAATAATTTTGCTCTCCGTAAATCATCTGAGTTTGTTGCTTCAAAAAAAATCGCTTCATTGATCCATTTTAGAAAAAAATTTTTTGAGAAAATTTACAGGTGCTAATGGCAACAACTGAAGCGAACTATCCAGTAAATCAAGAAGGAAATTACGAATACGAATTCGCCAAAAGCTACTTTCATCACACTTTTCTAAATTTTTTATCTGTAAAATTTTGTAATAGAAAAAAGAATAATAGAATTTTAAAGGTGCAAATTTTTGCTTGTTATTGCCCGCAATTGTTTGCGTATTAGCGGTGACTCGATAATTTTTATTGAATTAAAAATAAGAAAATAATCAAGGTTTATACGACCAAAAAGTCATAAAAAATGATATAAAATAAAGGCTCGGAAAAAGGAATGACTTATGACAGCTGTGGCATCTAAATGGATGCCTTAATCAGCGCAGCCAGCCGAACCAATAATGGAGAACTTAAGATGAAGGACTCAAAAGCTAGGCAATTTCTTTGTACCTGGATAAGCCTTTTAATAATTTTGATTTCTATATTTAATTTCCAATAAAACATTTTTAAGAATTTTTATTGTCTTTTATAATAATTTTCATACTTTATTATGGTCTAATTTTGATTTCTATATTTAATTTCCAATAAAACATTTTTAAGAATTTTTATTGTCTTTTATAATAATTTTCATATTTTATTATGGTCTGATAAGAGTGATAACAGCGATTATCTCAAATTTTGTAGCAATAGTAAATTAGAAGTGAAATCTCGACTCCAATATTTCTGCGCTTTGATGGCTTTCCAGATAATTTATATCAATAAATGTCAATCCATATCACTATGGCAATCAATAATCACATCAGCTAATAGAATTTTTCCGGGTTGATTCGCTGAAAAATCATTGTTGTGAAGGTTCTTCAAATGGTACTATTCCATTATTGAACTACTAAACGGAATTTCACTCACCGAGCTCAACTAAGTGAAGAAAATATACTCCAACTCTACTGCATAAACATCGGAAGTCAGCGCCATGATCGCTTTTTCCATTTCACAAAAAATTCACATCAGAAAGTTTTGAGTGTAGACGGCTTAAATGGATTATTTAGCAATAACTGAGATTATCCGGCCAACAAGTAATTACTTAACTGCAGCATAACAAATTTTTCGCAACCATCGAAAATTTTATTTCGCAATAATTGTGCAATAAAAATTGCAAACAATGAGGTGAACGGATCAAAAAAGCGAGAAAAACTTGACATGGTGCAAATCGTTATAGGCGAAAAAACATCCAGAAAGGTCGGTTCTTGAAAGACATCGTTTAAAGCCGTCAAAAATTATATTAAATTATCTCTTCACAGTTGTAAACAAAATTAATCTCCACTTGGCCATTAAACGCATAGGTTTTTTAAAAGTTGCTTATATTCTATTTTAAATTTTTAAATTCAAAAAATTAATTTTAAAAAATTAAATGATTAATAGATTAATAGACGAAAGACTTAAGGACTATAACGAATAAGAAAAAAGAAAAATAAATTAAAAACACCCAAAAAAATTTAACCACCATATTTTTGAAAAATAGGTTTACTCCTGGACGAACGCAGAACCCCGTCTTTGCGTTCCAAAATAAGAGCGACAATCCGCTGAGCCGTTCCACTCCCCTAATTGGTGCAAAATATTTAAAGTCGAGTCGAGGTTAATTAATTAGCATATTTACTATACATTCACCGTCTCCACATCGGCGATAACTTAATGATTTTGAATGATTTACCTACAACCAAATAAAAAAAAGAATTAAGAAAAGAAAAGAGTTAAAAAAAAGAATAATAATGAAAAAGGCAAAAGAAACGAAACAAATATTATATTATAAAATATTATAAATAATATAAATACATTATAAAAATACTGAGTTAACTTGTAGCAGTTTAGTCAGGTAAATACATTTTTTGATAAGTAAGCAGCGCAGTGAAAATATAGGTAAGAAATGAAGTAAGAAAATATACAGTCAATAGTATGACTAAAACAAGATGCAATTCCATGAAATTATCGTAATCAAATAATCTTAACAAATAAGAAAATGCATATGCAACTCTTACAAGGCAACAAACAAAAAAAGAAACGATTTTAAAATGAGATCAAGAAAAGTGGCCAGCCATAGACGCTCGTTTATCGACCGTTATAAGGGTTCCATTACAATGCTTTTCAGACATTTTAGAAAAAAGAGAATTTCTATGAAATATTTCGAGAATTTTCAAAGCACAATTAAGTGCAAATAAGCTAGAGAATTAAGTGATAAGCGAAAGTGCAAAAATGATAACAAGTATAAAAATGATATACGAAGTAGAACAAAAATGATATTCACCTTCATAAAATTCCTAAATTAAACGAGACCATCGAAGCTGTGCAAACTTTTTGCGACAGCTCGAATCCTTAGTAGTTTGTTGGTTTGTTTTGCCGCTGAGTGACCCACAACGAAACTTGAACGCCACTGAACCACTGGTGAAATTCCACTCTCAAATTTAAATTTTTGATGACGATACAATGGCGTTGAATGGTTCGAATCAGTTCCATTGTTGTTCTAAAAATTAAAATATCAATTTAAAAAATCTATTAAATCAGAAAAATATAAACATACATGATCTCCTAGTTTTAGAGTTGAATTTAACTAGAAATAGACTGGTACTCCTTAAGCAAATAGGCAGAGATAAATACCTTTTTTAGATCATCAAGATCGAGACTTTTATTTGGTCGCACATAATGAATTCTCCATGAACGCTTTCGAGCCGCACCGCCAAAGCTTCTATGTAACTGTGTAGGAATATTACAATCTGAAGTTTGTCGTTCAAAAATTGCACGGATTTGGCACCTACTGATTGCATGCTCCTCCTCATCCAGCTAAAATATCTTGCCTTTATAATAATATCGAATTCCTGGTGTCTTGAATTTCGACATTTTCTCTCTGGTTTATACATTTATAGCTTAATTAGCTTCTGGCAATGTATTTATGAAATTTTTTCGAATCATTTCAATTAAATAATCTCATGAGTTCGTGAAAGAAATGATAGCTTGATTACACTGTAGAAAACTAATGCTCCAAATTTGTTTCTAAATTCTCAATATACTCCACATTTATTTATTTCTAAATTCTTCAAGCAACAAAGAACCAAGAAATTATTCAGATCTAAAAAATTCTTATCTATTTTATCTAATCTCTCAACTGTAAAAAATGTTTATAAAAAAAACCATTATTTCAAGCGGCTTCCTCTCCATACAAGTCTCACAATCAGAAATTTTCCTACTGAGGCAATTAGATGAACTCGTCAGACCACTCTCCTTTGTTGTCTGACAATGTTCTTGGCATTCAAGTCCTGAAGATTTCGATTTCCACACGTTATCGCTGCTTTTTGGTGATACTGGCGACAGAAACCTGAAACAATGTATTTCAGATCACATGCACATAACGAAAAGTATTTCGATGACTTTAATGTATTATTAGAGACAGTGGTATTATTTTCCTTATAACTTTTTATTATAGCCACGGATTTTTTTAGGAAATTTTGGAATTCTGGAATTCTGAAATGGTACTAACCTCAGAAATTACCAAATTTATAAGTGCACAACAAAATAGATTTAATATTAATACAAAGATGTCAAATTTCAGCAAATCTGATAATCCCCTATTTGCAAGAGATTTCGACCTAAAACTGACCACCTGAACAGCAGACTAATATTACCATATTTAACTCAAAATAAACGAACCATTCTGATCGCGTCCTCATTCGCTTCGTTTGTTCTTCATGAACAAGTTCCAGATAAGAAAGTGAATGGGCACTTTCCAATAATTGGCCATAACATAAACCACCAAGAAAATATTTGTTGGCCTCATTTATTTGGATTAACTCTTGAATCTGCAACGAAATGGAATTTGAAAAAAAAACTTAGCTAAACTTCACTGAAATATCAAGGAAATCGTGAAACAGCTTGGATTTCTTATTCTTATCATAATTGTCATTATTAAAACCTGTCTATCGAAGGTGATAACTAATTTTATTTTAGAGGCCGATTTAACAACAATCAACTAGACGTCCTTTTCTTCATACGAATTATGCGATTTGTTAAATTTTCTTCCATTAATTCGATTTACTTGCAAAGGTGGTGATCTCCACCGTTAAAGACGCTCTCTGACGAAAGGTGCCCTTTTCTCTTAAATATTAAAGTTGTATGGAAATTCCATCCATTGAATACAAAAATACTAACGTTTGAGGTGGAATTACTCAATTGGTGATAAATGAGGGGATGTTGCTTGATTCCCGAAGGACCAGGCATACATTCTAATTCATCGATTTGTGAGAGATTCGAAGTACTGCCAATGATTCGCATATCAGGATGGCTACACGATCCAAGTAGAACTGCATAATGATTCATTAGATTATTAGAATATATCACAATCGCCGTAAAAAAGCAGTGAATGATGGCTTTAACCATCACAGCTTTTCCTATTACGACGACTGTGTACTTAGAAGAAAAAATATAATGTGATTAAATAAAATTGCATGAATTTCTCAAAAATACTAATTAATTTCAAAGTTATTAGTAAGGTCACGATTTGCTGATTCATTAGATTTTGAACTGAAACCGACAAATTTCCTCACCACTGACGTCTTAAGCTATAATCGAACCAATTATTTTAGTGTCAAGCCATAATTTCCAGGATGAAATGATGGAAATGTGATTTAAAATGAACCGTACAAACATGAGACCAACTCCAGGACCAAATAATCATGGCCAAATTATCAACTGACCAAATATTTTTGATCTTCATTTCATTTGATTCCACAGGACCAGAAAAATTTAGTTTTTTTTAATAGTCAGTTTGCGACCAATTACCCAACCCCCCATCTCTTACAAATTCAAATGAAGAAGGTCTAAAGAATTGGAGCCATATGATTGCATAAAAAACAACCTATAACCCCTATTAATTATGCAATTTGCAAAATGTATTTATTCACAGTGTGCTGAAAAAAAAAAAATGATAATAAAACTGTTTTAATCTTCGGTGACAAAAAGAAAACAAAAAATCTCTTACTGATAACAGCAATACAATGAAGAACAATTATTGATAACAAATACGACAACAAATTTTCATTCAAAAAAAAATAAATGCTAAAAAAATAAGTGCAAGAAAAGACGATTTGATATTTTCTCAACGAATCAATTTCTCCAATTTTTTAATTCCTAAACTTAAATTTTTCTTTTACACATGAATAACTATAAATGCCAAAATGGAAAATGCTGAGAAAATGTCTGGAAAAAAGGATTAAAACATTCAATAATGAAATTACTTAAAGTTTTATAAATATAAGTGAAATTCGAGGAAATTAAATATTCTCGGCACAAAATTACATGTCAATTCAACCTTATGCACCACTATTTTACATCAAGCAAATCGGAAAATTGGAAAAAAATGAAAGCTTTTGAAGAAGAGAATAAAAATGTAGAAAAGCAACCATCTCAATAACTTAGCATTTTATGAATATTTTCGACTATACATAACCATACCAACTGGAAAATAAGAATTCTTAAAACTAGTGGAGATAAAATAAATACGATTAAGAAACAGTGAACTAATGAATGAGATCTTTCAGAAAACTGGAAAAATAGCGAAAAAGATAATAATTACCAACTAGTTTTCTTATCAGAATATTAGGCTTTACCTTAACCTATTTTCCTAAAAAGTATATCTTCACAGCTTGAAATTGAATAAATATAAAAAAATAGAAATTAAAACACTGATGAAGAATGTGATAATGACTCGATCAAATAACGATCTATGTTAGATCACCTTAAAATTAAACTACTTTCTTAGTTTGGCTCAAGGAGGAAGACCACTGGACAGGAGATAAGAAAACTAAGAAGAGAGAAAACCAAAGTACCAAATAAGCCATATTATGAAGGCAAAACATTAAGTAAATTCGCCACATATGCAAAGATTTCATTTCATCTTTTCCTCTCAAAAAATATTCAAAATTATTAAGTCATTCAAAAAATCGGCCATTTTATTAGTATCCTAATTTATGAACGCATACTTTTCTAGCTGCAATTTTTTTCTATAAATTTCAAAAATTTAAATAAATTTCAATTTCTTTTGTGATGAGAAATGGACATGAAATCTGTACGACAACTGAAAGGAAAATCGGCAAAAGATTGGATGCACCACCTATTAAATACTGACGTAGATTGATGCTTCGACGCCCACTGCAGAACTGATCCATCAGTTTCTTAAAATTAGGTGCAATGATCACAGCACATTTGCACATTAGAGAATAGGAAATAGTTCACCAGAAACTGAAAATAACACTGGCGCTGGCCAAAGTTCATCACCATTCTGCATAAAAGTCGCAAAAATCATTTTGCAAAAACTTGCTTGCCAAATTATGAACATCCAACATCATGAACATCGAAATCCAACCACCATATTCCTAAGGCCTCTTGTCAATTTTATTTCTTCCATTCCCTCGACAACAGAAATATTTTCGAACAAAAAGATCTTGAAAACTTCTTCAAGCGATTGGATGACTCGAGAATCTAGCATTTTAAATGGAATAATAATGCATTGTAACACGTTGCAAAAGTTTGCTGAATTGTGATGATTTTGAATAAAAACGTCGATATTTATAGTAAAGTTATGGTCTTATAAAACAACAAACGGCCAAAATTTTTTGAATGACTTAACAAAAAATCGATTTAAGTTACATTATCCGAAAATAATTTTGTTTCGAAAGCTTGAAAATCTAACTGGATCTCTTCAAAATTGAAATTAAATTGAAAGACTAGTGCTTTGTTCATATGACAACCACAAAAAAAATGACAAAAATTGAAATAACACAAATGTGAAATATATACGTTAGTAAATTAGTTTTTTCGATAACCAGGAAGTACAAGTGTTAAGAGTGATGACATATCAATAAAAGTCGAGTTATTATTACGTTGATTTCGTTCCAATATAAGTATATTCGCGCATGGCCAAATGATTTTTATGCGAAGCCGAGTCACCGGATTCTAATGATGGTTTTACAGTTATTAAACATCTCTGCTCGCTAAACTGTCGATTGTCTGCAATAGATTTTGCAGCAATTTTTTTGCAAGAAGTAATGTTTTTGCAATGAAGGTTTTTTTTATCATACAACGGGCATCGTTCAAAATATTCTCCTTCTGCTGAATATTGCCCAGGTTCAGCTGTTTGTGAAGAGGGATTCGACGAATATTGCATATCTAAAAATCACAAACACTGTCTATCTAAAAAAAGATTAAATGAGTGCATGAACAAAAAAAAAGTAATTTCCCCATTTCAATTCCAACCAATTTTTCAATAAATTTTTTCATTTGAAGCCATATTATTTTGCGAAGAGGAAAACACAAAAAATAAAAATAAAACAAAAGATAATCTAAAAACCAAAAAATACTAGAATACGAAAAACGTTAAAAACAAAGGCTATAAAGATGCATGCATATATCAACAAGAATAACTCAAAAGAACATATCCTTCCCGTTTTTCAAAACAAGCAAGCGCAAATCTGCAGAGAAGTGGACAAAATCATTTTAAAACGATCTGCTCTGGGTGCAAAAATTTATCAGGTTTTGAATCTATCACAATTTTAAATAAATCTATCAGACATAAATCGGACTTAACTGCTCCAAAACAGAAATTGAATTATATTTATAACTAATAATATTATGGCTTTCCCCAAGGATAATTAAATTATTAAACTCAACCTCTTGATACTAAAAAATACTAAAAAATAGAATGAAATATCTTTTATAAATCACTTGATAAAGCAAATATGGCTAGCTTTGAATAATAAAGATAACCACTAATTTTCCAACAAATATTCAAAAATCCAAAAATCGTTTCCAATTTTATTCCATATAACAAAAATCCATTCGGTGCTAAGATATATCTTGAAGATTGATGCAAATATTACAGAACACTAAATAAAAAAAGATAAAAAACTAAATAAAAAACTTACCAGTTGCAGGGGCAAATTTGAATCGAGCTTCATTTTCGTCAATACGCAATGCCCGACCAGTAATTCGAGCATAAAATTCATAGCATTCTCTCGGAAAAAGATTTACGTGACCAAAACTTTGGATTATTTTAGATATAACTTCAGATGCCATTTTAAACCTCATTACATCTTCCATCTTCGCCTGCAAAATAATTCGATGAATTATGGAATAAACAGTTCATTAATATTTATAAAATTATTCTAATCAATGAATAATACTTTTTTGGAATATTTTAAAAAATAATGAATTCAATCAAAAATCCATTAATTTAATCATTTTATACAAAATAAGCTTCCATAAAACATACTCGCTGACCATCATGTATACAAGTATGAAACAGAGATGGTGCAACAGATATACCGATAGCATCCGGAGTCATCCTTGTATTAAAAACGTCCGCAGAGTCTGAGATCAGGAAAAAGGTACCGAATAGTAATACAAGTAAATGCTGAGAAGGAATTGATAAACTGCTGACAACTCTGAAAAAATTACTGATAGATAAATAAATAGATAAATTTTCAGAATAATCTTAATATTTTTATAATGCTTTTCAATTTTAATTTAGAGAAATGGTAATTATAAATAATATGTATAAAATGGAACTAAAATGAAACTCATCTCATTACAAAAAAATCAATCAATTTCAAAATTTTGTCAATTTCAAAATAATTTCATTACAAAAAATCAACACAAGTCATCAAAAATTTATTAGTAGGGAATAAAAGATAAGCAGATATGGAAAAATTCAAAAAACAAACCTACAAAAGACCTGACGTTGATTTTCGAGATCTGACTGATAAAATAAATCAAACAATAGCCGTTCATTTTCCAAACCAAAAATTCCTCCAGGAAGTTTGGATAGAAATTTCTAAAATAATAGTAGAAAATAAAATAATTGATTCATTCACAATAAAAGCTGAGGCTACTCGAATCTTCCTCCAAAATCTTTCAATATTTTAAGTCCAAAGACTGTGGAATTTTTCAAACTAAATTATCGAAGCATCTCAATCTATAAATATCAGTGCCTTTGAGACATCAATGAATATTGTTCTCAAACAAATGCCTCTGGGTATTGGCTAGGATATACCACTCGAAAAAGTATTAGAATCGGAAGAAATTGTCCAATTGTCCAAAAAACGCCACTAGGTATGAAGGTCAAAAGTTCATTATTACCAAATTCACCTAAGCGTGCTAAACAGTGGCGCGACAGGACAAAGAACGTTAAAAAGTGATGTGGCAGCCCTCAATGTGGAGATGACAGTTCTAACAGACATAATCGAAATTACTCTTTGTATAAAGCAGTAATTCGAGGTGTATTACTGAAATATTCCGCGATAATGATGGGCTCTTAAAGATCGCTTCTAAATTCTTAACCATACTATTTCATCCATTGTTCCGACACAGCAATATAATATTCTCCAGTTTAGAAAAGAAATGAAAATAAAGTAAAGTTTCAAGAAACGATTTAGAAGGTAAAAGTCTCGAGCTGTTGTCCAGCGTTCTTCATAATTCACTTTCATTATTGGTGTGGAAAAATGAATGCAATGGTTCCAAAGAAAATCGACGCATTTTATCTGCGTAAGCATAAATTTGTGGGCACGGAGAAGTATGCATTCTTTCAAAAAATAAATAGGTGTTCGTTTGGGCATTCTTTTCCCTCTATATTCATATGGAATATATAACATTAAGGGTATCGCTTACCAGTACTCAAGAGCAACTCATATCAATGAGGATCTTGAATACGATGGTGCAGATCTTTTTGTGACATTTGTATAAAATTTATATATAAAATTGCAGTATATGCTAGAATCTATCGATAATTACAGAGAAAATAGTGAGTCGGATCATATAAATAAGAAGACTTTTCGCTTTACACGTAACACGCGAATATAAAAAAAATACTTATGTTTATTAAACCAACGATTGAGAAAATCCAAACTTAAAAATCTTGGATCCACTCTAATGTCACATAAGCGAAATTCCAGTCCGGTGGCCCCATCCAGAAATATTTTCTTTCCATTTGAAAAGTCTTTTTAAAATCTCCACGAAATCATCACAAACAGAAAGTCCGCATCTATCTAGCTGCTTTGTGTAATCCTATTATAAGACTGCGAAACATATGAAAAGATTTTGAACATACAAATATCCCAGCGATTTATAGGCTTATATGGTTGAAAAATAAGAGGCTTCTAATTTTAGATACAACACAGAATAAAGAAGCTTTTAAAATACGCAGCTCCAGCGAAGCTAGCGAGTGATCTATTAAAAGAAAAAGGAATGTTTCATTGAATAGTTACCAAATATAAGAAGACAAAAAAAATAAACCTTTATAACTGAAGCTGCTGTATAGACACTAAAATTGGCAATATTGACAAGCCTACCATGCTGCATGGTATGTGCTAACTTACGCACTTGAGCCTGATTACCTGGAGCTCGCCAAATATCTTTCTTCGACGGTCCATCTTTGTTAACCTTCAGTAGTAATATCTGGAACAACCAAGGGACACTTTTATTTTTCAGTGAAAGTCATAAAAAAGTCATAAAAATCCGGTATAATATTAATGATAAAAATATAGTAATAAACATAATGTTTAAAAAATTTTCTTGACCCTGAACATGCTAGACCTTTAGCAAAAAATTTATCGAATCTGAAAATCTGGCTGATTTGCTACAGAAACCTATGAATCAAATCTGATAACTGCTGATTTGTATATTTCACGAGAAAAGATTACTGATAAGGAAAAATCAGTGATAAGAACGAACCAAAAGTGTAGCTGGAATATCGCGTGAAAATGCTTCTTGGATAGGTACACCAAATTTAACTCTAGAATGCAAAAGAATAAAAAAATAAAATTACAAAAAGATAAATGAAAATTGCGAGCAATTATAGAACAAAAATATTAAACAACATCGAATAGTACCAAAATTGAAAAACTGAATAGTACCAAAATCCTTTCTGAATGTACAAAGCAATTTTCAAAATTATTAGAAAGATATTTTATTAAAGAATAAAATCTCGGAACTTTTCCTCATAAAATTTTCAATTCTGATTTAGGAGTCTGATTTAGAAAATAAGTAAAACCCATAAGCAGAAAATAAATAACCCCCCTTAAATTCGCTTATTCTGTTTTTTTCTGATGGCAGGGTGGCAGGGTCCATTTCGCTGATTATTATTATAATACAATAAGTCCCTTTGGCTATAGAACGATTTGAGAATTGGAGCACAATTGGGTCCCATTTGTATTTCAGCTTTAATGACAAGTTTACTGTAAAAAATTATTTTTCAAGAAAAAAAACCAACTTTTCGATTCGACCACGATATCGCTGTTGCGGATCATGTGAATTACCACAGATTACCATACTATATCCTAGAGTCGTGACAGTCATCTGCAGTGGACCACCGCCTTCGCTTAACTCGTCAACATCACCGACTTGTTGCGGGTTGGAGTAAAAGCGGCAGTGCAATCTATTTAATAGAGCCGTCGACGTAATGATTGTCGTCGAATTTTACCAATTTTTAAAATAAGACATTTGTAAATAGTTTTCTGAGGTAATCGCTGGGCAATGACCATAAAGAAAACATCACCATAAAACTATCGAATCGTCGGCTAAATTTTATATTAAGAAACGCGCTTCTTGCTTTGGTTACCAATTCTAAAAGTAGAAAATTTAAAAAATAATTTTAAAAGAAGAAAAAAATCATGAAATCATCTCGAAAAATTTTTCGCCAACAATGAAAATGGCGTTAATAAAAAAAAATTCCAAATTTTTTATCTAATCGCGAAAATAATAAAAAATGATAACAAATATCAATGAAATTTCCAACAAATCTATAAAAGATGATTTGTCGACGTAATAAATCCAGGGAAAAACAAAAGAAGAAGAAAAATCCATATTTAACCCCAGCAAAACAGAAAAGTTCCAAATATTCTTCGATGCGGCGAAATATCGAAATTACTTAAAAATTACCTGTATAATTACAGCTTGTTAATTCATTTTTTATTCCCCACACAGTTTAATTCCCAAATAAATCTTTTCTCAATAAAACCGCGGACAATCCGCAAAAAATTCCAGAAAAAAATTAGAATAAATAAGAGTAAAGAGCATCGAAACAAATCAAAATTCAAAATTGAACACGGAAATGATAAAGAAAAGAAGAAATCTACTTCAGTAGTCATCGTAGAATGATAACAAAACCAGTCTTATCAGTGGTGACCACAAAACCATTTCACAATCCTCTGAGAAAAAAGGTTCGTACTACTATCATTGAGAGCAAATAAGACAAAGAGAACAAAAAGTAGATTTACTATGAATCAGCTCGGTCAATGTACAAATCCGTGAGAGAAAACGGAGTTGCGGTAACGCGGTAGTGTGAATACGGTAGCAAATTTTAGGTGTTCTGCTAACGGCGATAATCGCATAAGAATTCAAGCATCGGGAAGCTGAGAATGATGATTCGATCTTCTTCTGAATGGCTATTACGCTGATGCAATTTAGAGAATCACTTGTAGGGGTGCTGATAAGTTCCGATTCGCTTCCCTCATTCTCAGTAGTTTATCCTTGCCAAGAAAAGGATTAGTGGTACTAAGGCGAAGCGAATGAAATATCAGTGTGACGCCTTATTATAGAATAAATGGTGTCATTTCATAAGGATTCAATATATTCCAGTCGAGTCCGTGTCAAATCGTGTCACGCTGAAGATAGCACGATAAGCAGTCAAGGAAAAGTAATGATGGGATTAAAAATATGATAATATAACGATGAATGGAGAAAGCCAAATCATTAAAATTACGATGACAATAAGTAAACAATAAGTGATTTAATGAAAAAAATCTAATGAGTTTACTTAGTGTTTCTTCCTCTAACAGCCATTGCTTAGGCAAGGTCCACTGGTTACAAGGATAAGACATTTCTAAACCGCTGGACCCTATGCTGTAAGTCATAGGAGTCATTCCCTGTTCCATCGTCTGAGCCCACAAATCGCTGGCCCACCACTGGTGCCTCTTTCCGAATTTCAGTATTAATTGATCGCTTCGTCCTTGCTTTTGAGACATTCATCATATTTTACCTAATAACATGCAATAAACATGAAACAACAATTATCAAATGGGTGATGTTGGCGATTTATCTATACTTCAATCGGCGAATGATTGGCAAATTTCGCCTGGACTGACAAATAAGTGAGAACGAAATGGTGAATGCTCTTAGAAAAAATAATGATCAGTTGATTTGAACAGATTATAACTCGACAATTGTATAAAAATTCAAAAACGCTTCAATTTTAATATTTCAAAATTTAAATTTAAATTTTTTAAATAAATAAGGTTTAATAAAAAATATTTAGAAAAATATGAAAGAATTACGAGAAAAATGAAAAAATTAACAAATAAAATTGTTGAAATTTTTTTTTTCATTCATCATTAAAGCACAGACTAAATGGAAATGGAATGTGGTTTGGGTAGAGTATAGGTAGCGCCGATTCGATTCCTTTGCCTTAAATCTTGGAATAAATCTTGTGAAAGAATAAAAAAGAATTTGAATGTTCCGGAGAACCCCAATTATACTCCCAAGTAATTCACTAGCTGAGCGATTTCATTTCTCGTAATCAGCGAAGGCCAATTTAACCAGAAATGGCGCATGCGATTAGAAAAATGAAAAATTTACAAATAATTTAATGGGAAAAGAACGACGATGATAAGTGGCCACGAAAAAAAAGACATAAACTGATAATATGGAAGCCAAACAATGAAATTATAGAATTCATTTTCAAAAGAATCATATAGAGATAATTTTTAAGTGGCTATTAGAATTTATAGTTCGAAATGAAAGAATGATAGGCACTGATTCACAATGATGGTGGTGGAAATGGAAGTAATAATAATATTGATAGTGATAACAAAATGACTGTGATGATGGCGCAGTGATAACAAAGATGATATGATGATAATAGAGGTGACAATAATGATGATAAGGATAATGGTGATGATGATGGTGCACGTGATAAAGATAATAAAGATAATATGATTGATAATAATAATAATGATAATAATTATTAATAATAATAATGACGATTATGATTCAAATGCGTTCATAAAAATAATAAAGAAAAATGAACGAAATTATGTTGAATATTATTCAACATAATTATTAGCAAATAAAAAATGCTCTTAAAATGATGTCATAGCGTGAAGATTTTTTGATTTTTACTTATGACTATTAATTCTCATTGTGAGAAAACTGAAGCTCATGTAAATAAACATGTTTGAGAGAAGAAAAAACTCCTGGCAGGAGAAAATTTATCTTTCAAAAATTCGAGTAATCCACCTCAACTTCCATCGCCAAGATTTTTTAGCAAAACTGTGTGGTACCTTCCTTGGAAAATTTCCAGGTCTAACAATCCACCGCAACGAGTCTGCCCAGAGTTAGCTTAGATAAACAAGATCGAAAACATGGTATATAGCATCCAAAATACGAGAAAAATTTAATTGGCTAGTAATAATTTATTATCATTCATTATAAACTTGGCATTTTAAATTCTTGTTATTTCATTTTTTCATTTTTTAAGCGGTTTTCTGATAGAGAATTTTTTTTTAGAAATTTTTAAAAAAAAATTTCAAGTTATAAAGGACTGTTTAAAAAACAACAGATCTTCATAATAAGTCGAATGCATAAAGAATTATTCCACTGTGATAAGATTATTGGGCAAAGAATGACTCTATTCACAGATAAAATTTTCTGATCAAATCAAAGATGGATCATTGTAATCACCATAGCACAGTTCGAAATAATCTGAATGGTAACGATTTGGGCTTTTCTGAAAATGCTGAACATATGTGCCGAAATGATTATTTAGCAAAAATATTAATGGTCTAAACAGCTTATTTTAGTAGTCAATGGAGCCAATCAAAACAGAACCGTTGAACCGTTCTTGAAAGAAGAGGAAGAATGAAACAAAATCAAATATTGTAACAATAGTAAATGAAGTTCCAGCAAGTTCAACATTGCTACATTGCACTACTGAAATTCGTTAATTCGTTAAAAAATGGCAGATGACAGTTGTATATTGAAAGTCGAATAACTAAATTAGTCGTTTTAATTTTAAGCTCGACTGAGCTTTGTTTGAATCGAATAAAATGAACGATGCAAAATGACAATATGAATCGCTTCATTGACTAAATTAAACCATTGATATGTGCTATAATTGGATGCTAAAATTCGCATTATTTAGCTTTAACAATCTTATAGAAGATAAACGTATAAATTGAACTTCAATTTCACCAGTGTGAATCAAAATAGAACCAATTTTTGCACAATATTTATTACATTTATTTATTAAATTTGTTACATCTGTCGCCGTCATCAAACAATTTCTCGCAAAATTAGACACTCAATATTGCGAAAAATTTGAAGAAAAAGTTAATTGAAGTCTTTAGAAGTTGCTATCTATTTCAGAATTTCACCAGAAAGCGTCGCCTGCACTCTTTAGGCCGTATTCTTCTTCGTTGTCTATCATAGGAACTACAGCAAGTTAGCGATGTATGCTAAATTATGTAATCGATGAAAGCGAGAATAAATCAACACGGATATGATCAGAAGAGATTGTGAAGGCGGTCCAGCGATTTGCGGTTTTAGGCGGTAGAAAATAAGTGGGTCCAGCTGCTTTCCAGGACTGGCACTGGACGCATGGAAATGTCTTATCACCAAATGGAGCACCATTTTTATGTCCTTCGGAGTGAATATTTTTACTTTAATAAAGAATAAATTTCTATAAGAATGCGTGATAATATTATAATAGCGACTGAATCGCCAAAAGTGATTAATAAAACGATATTCAGCAATCAGCAATAATGTGAACTGCTAGAAAAAGAATTATTTATCGCATAGCAAAATTTCGTGAGAATTAGCTTTCGAATTAGCTTTTCTTTTTGATAGAAGCTGCAATAATTTTTGCAAATTTGCTTAATTTATCCAAATTGAACGAAATTTTAGAGATATAACGAATCTATTTTTAGATATTGTACAATGTGATTATTATGAAGCATTAAAAATGCCTAAAGCCAAAGATTAAGGAAAGAAGAATGGTTTTGGTGTGTAAAAAGGAGAAATCCTAGGCAGAATCAATTAGTCGAATGAATTAATAATGCACGGCCTTTAACTCTAATTTATAATAATCAAATAATCGCTATCTTTAGATCGACTAATGGAAATACAAAAGGGGCCTCAAAAACCTCAAAAATAAAAAATGCTAAAATTAGATAGAAAAATACCCCTCATCTTGCAATACTCATATATTAATCATCAAGCAATAATCATCTGATCGAATAGCTTCCAACGTCGCCAACGGAACGACCAGTAATGGTGCTATTAAAAGAGAAAAATTAGAAATT